TCCATTGATAAATCTATGAGCATTAAAGTTGGGCAAAACATACAAAATAATTGAGCAGATTCATATGTCCATATGCAATCTCACCACAGATATTTGTTGCACGAGATATTCAAATGTAAAAATGCTTACTTGTTGTGGTGCATTATGACCCTTTGGGACTGCAAATACTTCATGGTCAAGAGGTATGTCATTAGATGGCCACTCTGACCGAATGAAAGTACTCGTTTTCCCTGCATTTCCATTTTTGACAGAGGCCGAGAGGAAGAAGAACACTAGTACAATTACTTGAAGCAACATGGACTGCGTCTCGACAAAATTTGGCATGATTATTGATCAATCAGCCAATAGCAATTGAATAGCTGCATCACATCATCAATGACAAATATCAACCACGGCAGCAAATCAACAAAAATATGTTAATATCCATGTTAGACTCTGGTAATTCTATTCCAAAACCATATTTTCCAATAACAATCGGTTCAATACCTGCATCCCAGAATCAATGCCAAAATATCAATCACATGAACATGACCCAGATAATAACAAATAAAATATCACATGACCCACATAATAACACAAGAAAGTCTGCAAAAAAGCAAAGAGAAAATAAACAACTTGACCAAAAGTTCATCGTCATCATCGTTTGAATTATAGAATTTATAAGAAAGCTTACCTTATAAAATCAGCAGAAAGACTGGTGGAGATGGGTGCGTGATGATGTAGTTTGTTTTTAATAAAAAAAAGGCTTGTTATATAGGGAGAAAAGATAGTTCAGCTCGTAGAATGGCTTGTTGATTGTCTTGGAGACAGGAATGCTTAACGTGGTAACCTGCAGAGGATCACGTGGCTGCCCATAATTTGTTGTTTTCCTTTTCAGGTTCGTAACTGGCTTTTGTCTGTAATGCGACCACGTGTGAATCATCAGTTGAGCGGATGAGATAACTTCAGTCATTGTCTTTCTCTTGGCATCAAGTCCAATATCCATCAACTCCATCTAAATTATTTATTATCCAGCCATAGTTTTGTCATTAATGTCGTTAGTTTTTTATGTTCTTGAAATAATAAATTCAAGATTAATATATTTAATCAACAAATAACTATTATATATTAGATAAACCTAACATATTAATATAATTTTTAAAAATATAAAAGTGGTTATTTTTTAAATGATTTTTTTATTTAAAAATATATTATAATAATATTTTGATATTTTCAAAAATATAAAAAATTAATTTTAAAAAAAAACAAGTTTTAAAAAAATATGATTTCAAACACATTTGAAATGATACCAAATCATGATAAAGAGTTATTGCAAACTTTGGATAATTGATTTAGTAATTTAATAGCAATCGAAACTTTTTAATCCGTAAATACATAATTCATTTGTTTCAATTTAAGGAATTTATATTGTGATAGGTTTTGAAATTGTTAAATCAAAACCAATTTAATAATAGATTAGTGACCCACGATAAATTAAAAAAAATATTCATGTATTGCTAGCATATTTTAAAAAAATTAAAAAAATTATGATTTGGATTTTATACTTGATTTGATCTTATAGTCTTATAAAAATTACCCTAGAAAACAGATTTGAGTCAATTTAGATTACCCATAAAATTTATAATTTAGATCATAAAATCAGGACAATCCCACTAAAAAAAAGAAAATCATACAATCTAATTTTTAATAAATCTCGTGCCAACTTGGGCTAGCATTTCAAAACCACAAGCCAATTCATTAAAATCAGGATTATTTTAAAAAAATATATAAAATTTAATTTTTAATCAATTTAATATCAAAGAATAATTTTTTAAAAAAATAATTTAAAAAAATTCAAAGTAAAAAAAAACAGTAAAAAAAATCTAAATTTAAAATAAAACTAAAATGACAAGAATCCCAAGAAGAGAATACAGGAGAAAAAAAAAGAGAAAAAAAATATTGATAAAACCCCAACATTTCTTCTCCACCAAAATATATTGCCTAGCCCAAAAGCCCTTGCAACACCGGTTATAATGCCACCAAAAAAGCATGTTCTTGGCTGTAATAGGAAGCCGCACGCACTAAAACATCTTCAATAGAGATGTTAAATGGATAATCAAAAATAAAAAACTAATATTTTGGTTTTTTTGTTTGCTTTTCATACTTCAGGGAAAAACTAGATAAAATATTAAAATATATTATTTTTTTTCATAAATATTATTTCTATATATCTTTAAAAAAGCCAAAACTAACAAAATAAGGTTAACAAAAAAAATAAGCCAATTAAATCTAGCTATAGGGAAAAAAATAACATCAAAATCATTAAAAAAATGAAATACTTATTTATTCCACTTTAATATAATTAGCTTTTTAAATAATTTTTTTTATTAGAATATACATGATAAAAAAAGCTATATTTATATTATTCAAAATGCTATTTTATCTTTTTAAAATAACATTTTTTATTGGAAATGCTTTAATAGAACACAACGAATTGCCTCCACACAATGATACGGTTAATGCTGCGTCAGCTGAGTTGTTCAGATTGTTAACTTTAATCCATAATATTTGTTTTAATTTTAATGTTGATTTCTCAAATCTCAATTGTTTTATATCAATATAATTTTATTTATTTTGTCAAGTTGAATATTAATAGATCGTCGAAATTTTCCTTTGAAATTATAGAACCCTATAGACAGACAACCAAAACAATTTATCAATATTAAAAAATTAAATTAAAAAAAAAATTAAGTGGTCAAAAAAGCAAAAAGAACCTAAAAACTGCTATTGGTTATGCAAATCAACCCATGATTCTAGAAGGAAAGAAAGGGTGAGGATACTTGTTTAAACTTTAAATTCTATCATCAAAACTCTAATTTTTTTTTTAAATCAATGAGTTTTTATTTTATTTCGACAAACAGAGCGTTAGTTAAGCAATAAAATATTTTCTTGACATCATAAGACTCCATATATTTGCATAAAAAATCATTACAACTAGTTTTAAATTAATACAATGTTATAGAATCAAATAAAAAAATTAAAACACAAAAAAATAGTTTTATTATGCAATTCAACAACAAAATCTCTCACCTGTTAAAATACCAACTCAATCAAGGTTATTGTATGTATTTGGTATTGTGATGCAAAATGTTTTCAAAAGTATTATTCAATAAAAAATATATTAAAAATAATATTTTATTATTATTTTTTTTACATAAATATATTAAAATCATTGAAAAACATCTAAACAAGCATCAAATTAATTTTTTTAGGTGAAAAATATTTTAAAATCAGAAGTTACTGCAATTTTAAAAAAGCACTAAATGATTGTTTGGTATTGTAGTATACAATTTTTAAGAGTATTTTTCACTTAAAAAAATCAAAATATTTTTTAAGAATCTTATATATTCTTAACATTACAATATTATATTTATCAAGAAAACACTAAAAAAATATTAATTTAATATTTTTTTAAAACAAGTGCATTTTTTTAAAAAATATGTCAAAACAAAAGCTACCGTATTTATAAAGGAGCTCTAAATAAATCAATTTCAATGAAGGTTAGTTTATTTCGTACTTGTACAGTTTTTTAAAAACGTGCTTATTATATAGTTCTTCCATTATAATAGTAAGTGTTTTGTTGTATCTTTCTAAAACACAGTTAGATAGATAACTTGTCAAATTTTTTTAATATTAAAAAAATATTTAGGTGATGATAATCCAAAGCAAATTGTGTTAAATTTATTAAAACCCAATCTGAAATATAAAATCAAAACAACTTATAAAAAAATAAAAAATAAATTATAAAGTTCAAGATTAATGTCAATGATTGAAAAAAAAAACATTGAAGAGGAAAAACTGAGTCATTTTTTATTAACTTAAAAAATCCATAACCCGTAATATAAGATCAAGATTAAAAAAAATATATAAAAAAAACCTTATAAAAAATAAAATTAGAAAAAATTCGAGTTAATTCAGGTTAACTTTTCCAACCCGCTTTTGAAATAATTAAACAAAAATAAAAGTAAAAAAATAACAAAGCTCAGGAGAAAATAATTTAATGCAAAATAATAAAATTTCTCAGGAGAAAATAATTTAATGTAAAATAATAAAATTGAAAAAAAATACTTATAAAAAACCAAGAAAAAAACAGAGTTAAATTGGAATAACTCGACTAATTTGCCACTCACAACTTGAAATCAAAACTAAAAAAATTTAGACTTTTTTTAAAAATAATAAAAAATAACAAAGTTAAAAAAAATATTAAGAAATTTTTTTTAACTAACCCGCTCTTGAAATAATAAAACAATAAGAAAAAAAAAAAGTTCAAGAACAAATAACTTAATATAAAATAATAAAATTAAAATAAAGTTTTTTTTTGTGATGCATACATTAAGTTTTTATTTGATAACAATTTTTTGTCATTTAACGTCCTAATAAATTAAAAATTCATCAATGAAATCACCATAATTTTTTTCATTTATCATGATTTCATTTAATCAACCCTTAATTTCTAACTGTTTAGCTGATGAAGGATTGTTACCAGATTTTGTTTTTTTTTTTATATATATATATATATATAAATACAATAAGATAATACTTTGATCAAAGAAAAAGTAGAAAAATATTTTGTATTAGCATAGGGATAAACTATATTGAAATCTCTAAATCCCCGCAATACTATTCTAAAACACAACAACTGAATTTTGAGTGTGTTTACTATTTAATTTTTTTTTGAAAAAAATATTTTTTTATTTTAAATTAATATATTTAAAAAAATTTAAATTATTTTAATATGTTAATATACAAATAATTATTTTAATAAAAAAATATTTTTTAAATAAAAAATATTTTAAAAATAATTATTAATACACGTCCAAACATCCTCATCAAATTGAAGGGCCATAAGCCAGCCCATTAAGTAAATGACTTGAAGCCCAGAATTTGAAACGACAAGAGAAAGAAGGTCATCAAAACAAGCCGGAGACGACATCTTATAGTACCTGTCTTTTTGTCCAGTCTAGTAATTAAAAAAAAAAAAAAACAAAACCCTAGCTTTCCATTTCTCTTCAACGCATTATAAATACCGCAATAATAAACCTGACTCTCTAGCCGTTTGTGGCAATTAGGGTTTAGTACAAATCCCTCATTGTTCTCTCCGCCGTCTCTTCCACTCTCTTTAGCTAGCTATTGTACCTCGCCCTCCTCAGGTCTTTCTATATAACATCTCATTACTTCTGAGTTTATTTATTTTTTGATAAGTTTTCGGTCCATGTAGAGTATATTTTCTTCTCCCAGCGCCGCGCCCTTTTGCCTGTGATGGTATTAAATATACTCCGAGATTTAAATATCTATGAAAACAATTAAATCTGAGGCATTTATTTAGGATCTTTTCTTTTTATTAGTTTAATTATTGTTTTTTAATTTAAATTCTGCTGTTTTAATTGTCTATGGATAAAATGCAGGTGATGATAAAATAGACAGGGACATCAGCTACTCCTTTTTTAGGGAGGATGATGACCAAGTCTAAAATGGGAATCTCTCTGATGCATTTTTCATAGATTAAAAGCTGTGAATTTAGTGTTTCTTTTTTTGTGTATATATAATTGAATTGGGTTTTGTGCAAATGATGATAAAACAGACAGGGACATCAGCTACTCCAATTAAAATTGGAGAATGTTGACTATGTCTAAATGGGAATCTCTCTGATGCAAAAATCAGTTTTTTGGCTAATTATTGTTTGATTTTAGTGTTGGAGAAATGCTATAGACAGCGGTGGCTATCTATGTTTCTGCATCTGGGATTGTTTATGCAAATACTTATGACCACAGCGTTCATGTGGTTATGTTATCTGCATGAATGTTTCCGATGCAGGATGAATGACCACAGCGTTCATGTGGTTATGTTTCCGCAACCTTGGATAATTGCGGCTGTGTTTTGGAAAATCTCCTTTCGAAAACTGCTTTGTTTTATTGATTTGATTTATGTAGCTGCTCGTAATGGTATGCAGGATGTCTTGCTTTGCCCGTGATGCATAATACGAGGCTCTTGTATTCAAAACAACCTTTTGTTTTGCAAAATGGTATCGCTTCAGTTTCTGTAAAATTTCTTTCTTATTTCTTTCCTGAATGAATAGCATAGATGAATGATTTGCCAGTGATGCAATCATAAATCACGTATTATCAGATATAAAGATGATGATGATACATGATTGTCACTACCTCTGAGGCAAAGCTATTATCTTGTTCCCACAATGCTTCTTGTGGTACACTGTGGGAGAATTTTCCCTCGAACAGTTTTTTTTTTTGTGGGTGAATTCCCTGATTATCTAATGTTAATGTTTTCCCTTGTGGTAGTGACAAGGCCTGATGATTATATTACAAGAACGGAGATATGAATGGTGCCAGTTGTTGTAGCCTGAATATATATTATTGGGCTCCGGCGGCACCTCATGTAAAAAACTACTGTGGTTGAAAATGAGGGCCTTTCCAACCTTTTGAGGCTGTCTCGTGATGCCCAAATATGGGATGGTACAATCTTGTGGCATAGAGTAATTGTTTAATCAAATTGCCACATCGCTCTTGCTGATTTTAATATTTATTGCCAAAAACTTATACGGGAGTGGCATAGAGTAATTGTTTAATCAAATTGGTGGTTGCAAAATCTGTTTCTGTGAAGATATAAATAATATAATGGTTCCCAGAACTTTTGTGGTTGCGCATTGCGGGCTGTTTTTCCTCTACACTGCATCGATTTCAGATTGATATGGAAAGTTGAGCATGATGGATTTGATTCTGTTCTGAGATTCTTATTTTCCCAAGAGACAAACAAGAATTGCCCCAGAATGGTATAAAAAAGGAGTAATGAGTCATTTAATATATTTCCACATTGGGCATATAATATTTGAAAAGAAAATTGTTTAGAGTGCTATAAAAAATTACAACATTAATTTAAACCCATAACAAGAAATTAAAAGAAAAACCCAGAAACACAAACCCGTTGAAAAATTGGGCTTGGCCCAACATAGAGGCTTGGTGCTCATGGACCTGTCAGACCCCACTTGATTGCCTGAAGGGCTTGTTTAGATTGCATTTGTGTGGACGTGTAATTGTAGATGCTTGTTGTTTCAGTTTTCTAAAATTAATAAAATCAAATCTTGTTTTGCAAAATTGTTGAAAAATTGATGGAGATTAAAAAAAAAGAAGCTAAACTCAGCTTCACAGTGAGTTTGATTAATATTGTGGTAATTTTTATTTTTTATTCAATCATATAAAAAAAATTTATTTGGTTAGCTAAATAATTTTTTGCGTTTTGAACTAAGCTCTTTAAAAAATTGTGTTTCAAGTATTTGTTTTATGAAAACTAAAATAACATGTTTTCTATTTATAAAGACTTTTTTTATTTTATATATAAAAATTAATTTATTGTAGTTTAAACTAAACATATTTTTAAAACATTTTTTAAAAATCTATAACTAAAAGTGTTTTTTTACCGCAATCACAAAACTATTATAATATCAAACATAAACTATAATATTTTTTAAAAATCTATAACTATTATAATATCAAACATAAACTATAACATGATCTTAAGCAATCACGATTTTAAATACATAATATACAAAAATCTCACGCAATAATGAAATAATTTTATTTTGTAATTGTGATGTATGTTTAATAAAAAATATAACATGCCAGTAAAATACTAGAGGAAGCCATCCTTTTTAATTTAGGTTTTGTTTAGCATTCCAGCTCAATTATATATTTTAAGTATTTTTTCTTTTAAATTATTTTTTAATATTTTAATGTTGTTTTAATATTATAATATCAAAAATATTATTTTAATAAATTTAAAAAAAAAAACTTTGAAAATTTACAATACTACTACACATGCCCTTTGACAACCCAGCCTCCACTCAGAAGGCTAAGTGGCTGGTGCTTGACTTTGCATCGGAAAATGACATTATTAAACTTGACAAATTCTCTCTTTTACGCGTTAGACGAGTAATCTTGGGCTGCAAGCACTTGATGATGATCATTCGTAGCCCTGATCAATCGTGGCAAGCCTATTTTCCGGCTATTCTTAACCTGGCAGCGCAGCTTCCCCTGCTGCCCTCGTATAAGACAGAGTTCCTACCAGTCAAAATCTGTCTTTTTTTTCAGTTTGGAGACTAGATAAGACCAGGTTGGTGACAGTGATACGAGGCAGGACAGATTAATTATTTTTAATATAACAAAAAGATGCTAGGAAGATGTTTTTAAAACAACGATAAAACTTCACATTTATGTTATGTAATTAACTTGACTAATTTAATAGTATAATATAATATAATAATAGTAAATAAAATGAATAAAAAAATTAGCCTCTAGGTTACCTTATCAGATCGTAACTTAGTATATAAAATAGGAATAATTTCATAAAAATAAAAAAATAATAATATAAATTTATTTTTAATAAATTCAATATTAAATAATGAAATTATAAAAATTAACTTAAAAATACTTAAATTAATTTAGACTAATCTTTTAAATCTATGAGTTCATGAGTTTTGAGATCAAGATTACTTCACAATAAATTTAGAAAATAATGAAGTCAAAGTTCATGATTAACAAAATTCCAATCAAATAATTGCTTGGTGATAAAATTAAAAAAACAAAGTTTAAGTAAAAAATGATATGCAACCAAAAAAATAACAATAAAAAAATAAAAACTATATTTAATATAAAAATAAAATAAAATAATAATGGATAAAATTAAAAAATAAATTCAATAAAAAAATAAAAAAAAAATGAGTCTAACAGATAAAAAAATCAAAAGAGTATGAAATTAAAAAAAAATATTTTTATAAATTATTTCAAAATAAAACAACATAACAATCACCAAATTTAAAGAAAAAATAAATTAAAAGTTTGTTTTAAAAATTTAAAAGATCAAATCTATAAACCAAGGGAAGAGAGAAAATATAAAATAAAATAAAAGTTTGTTGGCAACAAAATGATGGTCCAGTAGCCACATGTGTTGCTCATGAATTAAAAGGTTGTTGAAAGTGTATTTGCTATTATAATAGTTATTGTGGTTGTGATTTGAAAAAAAATTATTTTATAAAATATATTTTTAGTTAAAGTTGGATTAGAAAAATATATGTTTGGTTAAAACTATGATTGAAATCGAGGTTGAATAAAAAGTAGTTTAATGTGTTTGGTTAAGAATGTTTTTGAAATGGAGGTTATAAAATAATTTTAAAAAATATATATTAATTTTATGGTTTTTAATTTAAATATTATAGATTTAACTATTGCTATTACATCATGAAATAAATCATACTTTATAAAAAAAATTATTGTTCTGTTAAATTATTCACAATTATATTACGTATAAAATTCATTCGACAAAAAACTACAAAATTAAATAAAATATTATTAGGAATGAAATTGAGATTATAGTACGAGTAAATTTAATTCACCTTAAACTATTTAAAAAAATAAAAAAATAATTTATTGTACACGTTCATATGAACAGTGTGAGTGAAATTAATTAACTGTACTAATTTTTTTTATAAAAAAAAGCTATTCACATAAACTATGCAATAGTGAAACATGGCTCCATTATTCATTAGAAATTCTCATGACAAGCACCAAAATGCTGCTTCTTCAAAACTTGCAGTATGACCACAAAGTTGGTGAGTCCTACCATGCAAAATCCTTTTTTTAAAAAAAACAAATATTGGTATGTGTGGTTATGGATGACCTCATTCACAACCACATTACTAAACAACATCTTAAACATAATTGCAAAAGTTTATGCTTGGCCATCATAAGACGCTGCATATGCAACTTGAAGAGTGTAGATGTATTTTATATGCCGGTACATGTAATTCAAATTTATTTTTTAAATACTATTTTAAATTTATATAAATTAAATTAATTTTTTTTAATTAACTTGATTATAACTAAATATATTATGATTAAAATATGGAAAAGCTCTTGAATATTGTTAAAGAAATTTTATTCTGAAAGATAATTTAATTATTTTACAAATAGACAATTATATTGTCATGGCAATGCAACGAATTCTCATCACTAATATTAGTGATATGAAAAATTTGAAACCTTACATATTGTATATCCAACCTTGCCGTAGTGGAATAAGGTGATGAATCTTCCATCCGTTTTAATTAAGCCGTTCACCTTAACCTTATCCGGAGTGTCAATTTTTCACAAAACTCTAAAATCTACTAGGTATATTCTTACCATATATATAAATTGAATCTAAAGAGAAACCTTTTAAAACATAATCATCAAACTTAATCAAAATCAAGTTAATTTTAAATATTTAAATTTAAAATTTAATTTAAATCAAGTTTTTAATTGAATTAGATAAAATATTAACTCGGTAAAACTTAAATAATTTAATTAAGTTTATATTAATCTACGTGATTAAGATAAATATAACTGGACAACATCAAAATTATTTTTTAGTTTTTTAAATAAAATAATATTATTTTAACAAAATCTGTCTTCACTAAATTTGGGGAGATAAGATGCTTTACACGTCAAATCAAAACCAAATCCTTCAAAACATTCAGTTTTGGCCATACAAAGAATTCTCGTCACTTCTATGGAAACAGTGAAAACTTTTGTATTTCCAGCTTTGCCTTAGGCTCTATTTTCATGTTTTTAAATTTATTTTTATTTTTTATTTTAAATTAATTTTTTAAATTTTCTTAATAGGATGATGTAGAAATTAAATTTTTAAAAATAAAAAAATATTTTTAAATATTTTTATA